GCGTACAGCCGGTCAGTCACACTGCGGTGCTTTCGGTGCTGCAGCTGCATCCCAATCATAAATTCATACCAACCTATAAAAACGTCCAGGACACAAAACAGACAACACAGGGAGCCGTAATGGATGAAAGGCTGTTTTATAAGTGTGTTCAGTGACAGGTCCACTTCACAGATAAGAAGGATCCATCTGTGTGTGTGGTCACAGCAGGGCAGCTCTACTACTCTACACTGTGGGTTCTCTCAGTCAGGGAGTGACAAGGTGGCAGCGTGCTGAAAGAATTTATGGCATATTACTGATACGGCATTCATCATAGCAGCGGTGAAAGGCAAGCATATGCGTTTAGGGGGGTGGGGGGGGTGCACGGGGTGGCTTTAGAGCCTCACAAGTGATCTATTTTAATCATATTTATTCATGACTATCCCGTTATACATAATCCATTACTATTCCTGTTCAACTGTATCCTCTGCTGTTTCGCAGTGCCGCTCATTTCTTCGCCTCCTCCCCTTTCTCTTGTAAAACTGTGGAGAAAAAGAGAAATTTAAATCAGCACGAGGGGCCAGCAGATCATCCTGTTTAAAGTCATCTGTGGCTCCGAAACTTTCTCTGACAAATACAATAAGGTGATTTATATTTAGCACAGGAAAAGGAACAACAGCTCAGGCGAAAGGGGTTGAGGGGATGGAGATTTGTCATGGTGAGCTTTATTGAAGCCTGCCAGGGAGAGACTTGCCCTGACTTCAGGTCGTGCTTTAGCTTTGAAACCACATTGTTGTGGGAAGCGAAAACCGCATCGACATACCTCGAACCTCCAGAGTACACTCCACCTCGTCTTCCCCGAGGTCGTTGACGGCCCTGCAGGAGTATCTGCCCCCATCGAACAGGCTCGGCTTGCGGATATTCAGAGTCAACACTCCCTGGTTGTTTTGCATCAGAAACTTGGGGTCCTCACCGATGATCATTCTGTTCTTCATCCAAATGATCTTTGGCTGAGGCACAGTAGGATGTTGGAGGAGCAAGCAAAATTGGTGGGATGCAGGAAAGGAGAGGGGAAGGGTGTGTGAGTGCAAGCGTGGGGGGGGGAAAACACAGAGGGATGTCAGAAGGGTAGGAGAGAGCAGAGGGAGGAGGGTAGGAGGTGAAATTAGGTCAACGTTTCGCCTTGACAAATCTTTGCCGATTTTGTGTGATTAAAAAAAATACACGCGCTAAAAGATCGAGCTGCTCCACCTCTTGTTCTAGCTTCCTACATAAAAATACATTCCTGCAGCAAAGGCATCAAAATCCTCTCTGACTGTTCACACACTCACTGCTTGACACTCAAAACCTGTGAAAAACACAAAGCAGGAAATCTGTGGCAAACCTTTGCAGTGCAGCTATCACAGGCCAATCCAGGTAAAGTCCACACACGATGGTGCTGTAGTGTGTAGTGTAGTCATTTGCAACAAACAGCTGGGGGTTACCTTTTGTGCATTCAGCACTGCTTTATTGACAGCCATGACTGTGCTCACTTTATTTCACATTTATTTCACTCTTCACGCATAAACTAGGAAGCACACTTCTCTATATTTTATCTTTAGGTTTTCTAGATATGTTTGAATCTGTGAGCTGCACACAAACTACCATCAAAATTCACATACTGATTGGTGTCTAAATACCTTGTTCCTTGGTTTATAGACCAATTTTTAAACCGATTTTTTAAAAATTATTTTATATCTTAAAAATATAAAAAGACAAATAATTAAGAGCAGAAGGATAAACACCTTGGGTTGTAAATGAACTCCAATCAAATTCCCAAAAAACGACATCACTGACACACACCTGTAAAAAGTAAAGTTCGGATACCTTGGGGTTGCCACGAACGGCACAGGAGATGGCGGCACTGTATCCTGCAATGACACTTCTGTCCACCAGGGGAGCTGTGAATTTAGGACAGCGGCTCACGTCTATCTCTTTGTAGGGTGAAGGGTTGTAACCCAAACCTGGACATGGAGTGAAGACGTTGAGACACACACACACTCACACTGCTTGATGTGTAATAATAACAGTGGCTGCTATGAAGCCAACACAGATATAATGAAACATAATCAAAGTCAACATAGATGAAAATAAAGTACATATATCCATAAATAAATCAAAAGGCAGGCTAAAGAGGTAAGCTTCAAGTTTAGGATTAAAGATTTCAACACGTCCTCCAGCAGACTGGAGCATAAACACTAACGCTGACTCCCCAAAGGTTTTTGTCCTGTGCTTTCCAGCTCTTCCTATGATGAATGTGCGACTGAAATAAGACCGAATTTGCTTCCTTGTATCAATAATGGATATTCAACAAATTTACCCATTGATGGGTTAAGAGGAAATTCAAATAATTCTG